GACTGAGTGGTCCCGGGTTCCATTCCAGTCCAGCGCGCAGGCCTGGGTGGCGGGCTCGATCCCCGGTAGGGGGCGTGCAGGAGGCAGCCGATCAATGATTCTCTCTCGTCATTGTTTCTATCTCTCTCTCCCTTTCCCTTTCTCTCTGAAATCAATAAAAATATATTTAAAACATAAATAAATTAATAATAAAGTCGACGGAAAAATATCCTCAGGTATGGATTAACAACAACAAAAAATTATCTCTTTGTCTTTATTCTTTGCCATTTTAATTATGTGTCTTGGTGTGGGTCTCTTTGCTTGGGGAAGTTTTCAGCCATTATTTCTTCAAACATATTTTCTAATCCTTTTTCACTCTCTTCTCCTTTTAGTATCCCTATGATGTGGATGTTGTTCTGCTTGATGGTGTCCCAGAGGTCCCTTAGACTTTCCTCAGTTTTTAGAATTCTCTTTTCTTTTAGATGCTCTGCTTGGGTGCTTATTACTATATTTTCTTGTCCTCTAATTTCCTCTAATCGCTGGTTTGATCCTCTGCTTCATCTAACCTGCTGTGGTTCCTTCTAGTGTACAGTAGAACCTTGATTATCAAACTTAATCCGTTCCAGAAGGCTCTTTGAGTAGCAATTTGTTTGAAAACTGAATTTTTTTCCCAGTAGAAATAATATAAATTGAATTAATTCATTCCAGATCCCCAATGATTCCCTGTTTTAACCTTTTATATATACAGTACATGTCTAATGTACTATTCTATAAACACACATTTCTTTTCTTAAATTTATCAGCCATTTTTTTTAACCTTAAAGGAATCACTTTCAGCACTCATTCTAGGGGTGTCTTTCAGGAAGTCAGCATGAGGCATTTTTGCTTTTTCGCATGTCATTGCCTCCAAAATGTTGTCACTGGCTAACTGCTTTTCGATTATCCAAATCAATGACAGTTTTTCTACCTCTTCAATTGCCTGTGATCATTGTTTCTTACACACTCTTGGCAACATTAGCACTCTTGAGGGCCTCTTTGTGTTTTAAATTTGTGCTAATTGTCCATTTCACCAGCAACAAAAGCAAAAAAAAAAATGTTTTCACAGCACAATTTCCTGAGATGTTGACAACACAAGGTTTAGCAGTAAACTGACTTGAATTCTCTCCTATGTTTGTGGCCTGAGAGACAATTTTTTGTCATGATGATATTTCAGTATGAAATGGTTGTTCAACAACCTAGACATTTTTTTTTGAGATAGGAGATGTTTGAGAACCAAAATTTGATTGTTTTCATTTCTGATTTTTTTTCTATGTCCTTTTTAATGCTTAGTATCTCTGTGGGTTTTGTTTTTAAATATTTTCTTTTACTTATTTTTTAAGGATGGGAGAGAGAGAAAGCGTAGAGACAGAGAAAAAGAGAGAGAAAGCCTCACTTTATTGTTCCACTTGTTCATACATTCATTGGTTGATTCTTGTATATGCTCAGACCGGGGATTGAACCCCCACATCCTTGGTGTATAGGGACAATGCTCTAACCAACTGAGCTACCAAGTCAGGGCCTTATATCTGTTAAGTTCTCACTGAGATCATCCATCCTTCCCCTAAAGTCCTTGAGCATCCTTATAACCATTGTTTTAAACTCTGAATCTGGTATTTTGGTTGCTTCCATTTCATTTAATCCTTTCCTTGGGGATTTCTCTTGTTCTTTTGTTTGGAGTATTTTTCTCTGCCTCCCCATTTTGTCTCTGAATATTAGGTAGATCTGCTGTAACTCCCAAACTTGTTATGATGGCTTTATGGTGAAGGGCCTTTTTGGGATCAATGGCACAATCTTCCAGATCACCTGAGCTCTGTGCTCCAGGAATGTTTCTTGTGAGTTATGTGCACCCTCCTGTTGTAGTTGAATCTTGAGTGCTGTTGGCTCTTTCGTGAGTGGAGTTAACTCTTCAGACTGGCTGACTATAAGGGTAAACCTTGATCACCGCATATGAGATGCTGTGCAAGGGCTGCCCCCAAGGCGGAATTGTTCCCAGCAGGGTCTGGTGCCTGCTGGAATCCCTTTTTTGGGTGTACAGCTATGTGGCCAGTTGGGTTGAGCTCTGGTGTGATCTGAAGCCCACCACTGGTTGTATTGATTTCAGTTCTACTTGGGCTGGGTTTAGGTACTGGGCAATGTCAGACGTTCTGTGTAACCAGCCTTGGCTACCTGTCTGGAACTACCATGCTATTCACTGTTTGTGGCTAGCATCTACTGGGCCTGGGTATATGTGGGAGGGGCCAATCTGTGTATAAGGGTCAGCTTCCTCCACCTTAGAGCTGGGGGAAGATCTGTAAAAGGACTGAGGCTCCCTAAGGTTGCCTGGTCTTCCTCCAAAGCCTTCCAAAGAAAGACTGTAGAGTGGGCCCAGGCTAGCCATGAATCACAGCCTCTTCTGTAGGTTTCAAGCTCGGTAGGGTAGGGCAGCTGAGATCAGGAGGATAGGGCTAGTGGGTCCCCTCCTTGGGGATCACACAGTCAGGCACTCACTGAGGGGAAAGTGGACCCCCCTCCAGAGCCAAACCAGTCAGTCTCTGCCAGAGTCTCCAATTCTAGCTCCCCGTGGAAGGGCTTGCTGTAGGTTCAGGTTCGGTGTAGCCAGTCATCCCCTCTGCAGGAGCAAGCTCAGCTGCCCTGGGCTCAGGGGGACAGATCAAAAGAGCCTCCCATGGGGGTGATGCCAGCCCACCCCTAAGGAGGGGACTAAGCACTTTGTCTTGGTCCCAGATAATAGTCTCCAAGGGACTCACACTTTGAAAGCCTCAGATCTAAGCCACTCTCCCTTCCTCCCATGGAACTGAGCCCAGCGGGGCAGAGCATCCAGGACTTGTCAAGGCTGATCCAAACAGTCTCCTGTTGGAGGTGGTTCCTTCAGGCCTGTGGGAGGTGGGTGGGTACTTCTTCCTGGGGTAGCAGTGGCTGAACTTGCTGGAGAGCTGGGAGTGTCCCCCTCCCCCACCCTGCAGTGTAGCCACACACACCCCAGCATCTGCCTGTCTGATTCCTGGACAAAAGTTTTTTTAGGAGATATGGTCTGAAAGTCCCAGCTCTGCAAGACACTTTGATATCCCTGCACAGCTGAACTCAGCAGGACAGGGCCTGCCAAGTCAGTCAACAGGTGGGGGGTAGGGGCACTGGCTGTAGGCTCAAGGTGGGGGAGACCAGCCTTCTTTCCAAAGCCACACAGTTTAGTCACTGTCTGAGTCTCCACCAAAACCTCCCTAGAAAAATAGGGCCCCAAATGTCATGATGGATACAACTAGCAGACCCCTCCACAGGACCTGAGTACAACAGAGTGACCTCGCCAGCAGTTGGAAACTGGGCAGTGCACTCCCAGCCTAGTGCTAGTGATAGGAGTGCTTGTCCCTGGGAAGGTGGCACCTGGGTCTCCCAGGCAGATGGAAACCACAGTGATTTTCACCACCAGATGCTATGTTCCCATCTCTACTGCTCTGAGTTGGGGATCCCTGAGTGGGGTTGAGACCCCACGCTACTGGAAGGAGGAAGTTTTGTCATAGTGATACCCCTCTAGCTTCTCAGTTGCCAATGCACCTGGGTGCTGGGGCCAGCCCTTTGCACATCTCTGCCCTCCTTACCAGTCTCTATGCGGCTTCTTCTGTAAACCCATGGTTATATGTCAGTTCAGCTCGCTTCAGTTGGTTATCCAGGTTGATTGCTCTATACTAATAATATAGCTAGGAATCTGGTTTGGGGCTGGGAGCAGGTAAGTATAGCTTCTACCTGCTCTGCAGCCATCTTATAATCTAGCTTCTAGAAATTACACTGTCCCTGCCCCTGGAGTACTTTGGCTCTAGACCAGAGGTTCTCAACCTGTGGGTCGCCAACCTGTGGGTCGTGACCCCTTTGGGGGTCAAACAACCCTTTCACAGGGGTCGTTCACCTAAGGCCATCAGAAAACACATATATAATTACATATTGTTTTTGTGATTAATCACTATGCTTTAATTATGTTCAGTTTGTAATAATGAAAATACATCCTGCATATCAGATATTTACATTACGATTCATAACAGTAGCAAAATTACAGTTATGAAGTAGCAACGAAAATAATTTTATGGTTGGGGGTCACCACAACATGAGGAAGTGTATTAAAGGGTCGCAGCATTAGGAAGGTTGAGAACCACTGCTCTCGACTGTCCCTTAACTTGATCTTGGGGAAGCACGGTCAGGCCTGCCTGGTCAGTTTGAGAAGGCTATAGTTTGCCTCTTCTTGCCTGTCCCTCCTGTGTCGGTTCCCTCACTGGGAGGGTGTGCTTGGTCCTCTGTGGGTCTGAGGGTGGAGGAACACAGCCAAATCCTGAAGAGACAGCTCTGGGGCCCTGTGAAATCAATGCTGGTGGGAGACACAGGCTCTTTGCCCCCCACCTGATAGTTTACCATCAGATAGATTCTTTGTTCTCTTTCTTATTAAAGCCAGTAAGTTCATTTTTTTCCCTCATTTTAGAATTTTCAACTGTATATTTTAAAACAATGCTTGCTTGCTATTAATTAATTTTGAGTTGTGATTCCTTTTCACCTGTGAGAGGGAAAGGAACAGAAACTTGAGAGAAGTAAAAGGAACCCCAGAAGGTGACAGTCTGTCCCCGACCCATGGTGGGACCAGGTGGGATGGGATGCAGGAACTTTCTATTTCTAGGAGGTACTGGGAAGTTAAAGGAACTACTCAAAAAAGAACTTTTTTTAAATATACTTTTATTGATTTCAGAGAGGAAGGCAGAGGGAGAGAGATGTAAACATCAATGAACAGAGAGAATCATTGATCGGCTGCCCCCTGCACACCCCCTACTGGGGCTCGAACCCGCAACCTGGGCATGTGCTCCTGACCAGAATTGAACCTGGGACCGTTCAGTCCGCAGGCTCACTCTCTATCCACTGAGCCAAACTGCCCAGGGCTCAAAAAGAACTTTTGTCAGAGTTACTCTTTAACCCTAACACTGACATGTCTTGACATTTATTTAAGGTTTTAGATGCCACAAAGCGATTAGGCTGTGAAGAAATGGAAGGATATGGCCCTCTGAAAGCTCATTCATTTTTTGAATCCATCACATGGGAGAATCTGCATCATCAGACACCTCCGAAACTCACCGCTTATTTACCAGCCATGTCGGAAGATGATGAAGACTGCTATGGAAACGTAAGCTGGCTCGTGTGTGTCCGAGCAACCCAGGCAGGGATGGATTCTGCTTGTCATACTATGTGAAAATGGTTCCTCTGTGCTTAGGAAGTTTGTGCCCATCGACCACAGGACTCTGATTCATGGGATTGAAGGGCTCAAGGGGAAGCCGGCATAGATCTGGACACTTTGCAGCCCAAATCTGAGTCTCTTACCGAGACTGAGCCCTAAGTGGCTTTTGTCCATGAGTCTGCCCCGAGTACAGGTCATCAGGCCCTGGGGTGGTCGAGTCCCTTTTTCTCATCTTTTCTAGATAATTTTTACCCATAGGGATTGAACCAGAGGCAGATAGTGGGTGAGGGAGTCTGGAGCTAGTGGGAGCAGCACCCTTCACTTTTTCCCCTGGGCTCCTGGTGCTGTGTGTCCTGGTGGGCATCTTTCTTATGTTCTTGGCTGGTGTTTTTATAATCATATGTCTAAAAACATTCTGGAATGCTTCTGATCTTTCCAAGAGAAGCCTAGGGTGCTGTTGCTTTGAACTTTTTGGGACATGGCATTGAGGATGGACATGGATCAATGTCAGCTTTTAGTTCCTGGTAAAAGCGGGAACTGTGGTACAAGCCCAAGGGGTGTAGCACCTGGCATGTGTGGGAAGTTGTAGTCACAGCTTGAACTCAGATGTAGGTGTAAGTACACTTTGTTCTTTAAATTTTTCTTATGGAAGCAGATGGAATTGGACAGAGGAGTACAAGGAGCTGCAGTGCACCCACCATCCACCTTCAGGTGTTTTCTTATCATCATTGATAGTCCATTTTTCTGGCTTGAGTTCTGTCACTGTGGCTTATTCTAACAAGTTATGTGTAGAGTTCCACTTTAGTTGATGTGGGAATTCTAGACTTTAAGAGTCATCCAGAGCCAAATTAAAATTATTACTGGTATCACCTCTCGAAGATCAAGAGCTCCTTATGTCTCCCGTTTATTGTTGTAAGCAACACATCCCCCTTTGCTTACCCTGAAATATCTTTTGTGCCCAGACTTGAAGGAAGCCTGACCTGCTTCCCCGTTGCAGTAGCTGCGGCCTCCGTGTTTGCAGACTGCAGAAGGCTCATCCCCAGGACTTCCTCCCCCGGCCTTGTTATTCCTAAGGCATAGACAGTAGGAGTATGTTAGTGTCTCCAGTCCAGTGCCTTTGGCAGGGGTGTCCAGGGAAGCAGCATGTTTGGCTGACTGAGCTCTAATGGAGCTGAGCTCTGATGGAGGGCGCAGCTGTCTCGGATCTCAGTGTGTGGGGAGCTCAGCTTCATGTAGCCTGTGTGTGTATGTACATGTGCGTGTTTGTGTGTGCGTGTACACACACTTGAGTGTCTTCTTTAGGCCCTCTGCTGTTTTATTGCCTTCGCCATGTCAAGAGCTCTGGCTTCTTGGTACTCAAATGTTTCCATCTCAAACTGGCTCTACAGGTTAACAACTTATTGTTAGGTGGCTCATCCTCGGCTTTGAAGGCTGTGTGGTTTGAAAGCCTTGGAAAGTATTCGGCCTGAGCTCCCTATACTACCCTTCACAATTGGACAGTTTAGTGAACCTTGAAAAAGACTTTGACCTGGAAAGGTAATCAAATACAGAGAAAACCTGCTCAAGGAGATACTCCCTCACTGCAGAGGCAGACGTGTCACAGGAGACAATCTCACCACCCATGAGGCTCCAGGAGAGTCTAGTGTCCTTTGCAGCAGGAAGGGAACTACCCTGTGAATGAGAGGAGCAGAAACTATCTTTATTCAGGGAGTGAAGAGAGCAGGCACCCTGTTCTCATCTGTGTTCCTAACCCCATGCTGGTGGCTGGTGGTGATGCTCATGTCTGGACTCCAGGTGGCCCCTGGAGAAACGTTCAGTGTTGAGCAGTCTGGTGTTCCCTCACTCTGCGTTGGTGAGCACCTCCACTTCAGCCACTGTCACTCCTTGTCACCTGTCCTTTCTAGGTTTGGGGTTTGTGCTGCTCGTCTGTACTAGGTGCTGCTGAGGGGAGAAGAATGGAGTGCAGAGATAGAGCACCTGGAGCTTTCCCTGGGACAGTACAGTGGAGCCCCCAAGATAGGACTCACCCAGCAAGCAGTGGTCATGGTGGTCAGCTAGCAGTTCCACCATGGGAGCGAGGCAGTCCCTGCATTGGAAACACGCAGGGGTCTGGTTCTGAATTCCACACTGGCCCTCAGGTTGTGACCTTGGGCCCATTCTGAGCCTTATTTCACTGTTGCAGAAATGGAGATGGTGGTAACAGTCATCTCACTGGCTTCTCAGGTTTGTTGAGACACCCACAGAAGCTTATGGAAACCTCCCTAAGCTGAGAGACACTGCCCAGAGGTGGCCTTGGGGCAGTTTTCAGAGAGGAAGTGGAGAATGCTCACTAGGGTCACTCCTACCTGGGAGCCAGTGGGCAGGGCTGAGGCTGCTGTTGAAGCTGTGTGAGGTGAAGGCTGCTTGGGCAGCACATGAGGAGGGTGGGCTCTGGGTCTGCAGCAGGGAGTCGTCCCTCTAGATCAGCGGTTCTCAACCTGTGGGTTGCGACCCCTTTGGTGGTCGAACGACCCTTTCATAGGGGTCGCCTGAGACCATCCTGCATATCAGATATTTACATTACGATTCATAACAGTAGCAACATTACAGTTATGAAGAAGCAATAAAAATAATTTTATGGTTGGGTCACAACATAAGGAACTGTATTTAAAGGGCCAGAAGATTGAGAACCACTGCTTTAGAGACACACGGAACTTGGAAGGATGCACTGCATTCTCATCTCACCTGTTTCTGGTGGCGTCTTTCCTTTTCCTCTTTGTTAGCCATGGAGCGGCTGGGTACCCACTTCTCTCCAGGTCTTTGCTGGGGCTCTCTGGCCCGTTCAGCAGCCTAGGAGTGTGCGAGTACACAGCCCCTGCCTTTTGGTACCTTTGTGAGTCATTCCATTTTCTGTGTCACCAGTGTTTGTAGTTTTCTCCAGAATAGCAGGCAACTCTGTCTATATCAAGCTTAATTAATCTTTGCTGAGATGAAAAGGAGTATATTTTTATTTGTAATTGAACTCAGTCACACTGGAATATATAATGACAGCCATAGACTCAGAGACATAGGACCACAGGGCTAAAGGAGGAGGGCTCTGAACTCCTGCCACTGAGCCTCTGTACCCCGGAGGGTGGGTTCTTTAGGGCCATAGGTGCCCATCCCTCCTGTTCCCAGAAGGCATCCTAACCCCCTCTAGGGGGGGCAGCATGGGGGCTTATAGAAGTTTCCCTTCCTGGAGATGAAGGCTGAGGGTTAGCTGCTCTCTGGGGTGAGCATCTTCTCATGTTCACCTCGGAAAGAGGGATCCAGACAGGCAGGATCCAGGCCTGCCTTGATTTAGTGGCCAGCCAGCCAGGGGAAGAGAAGGAGCAGCCCACACTTAACAGGAGAAGCAGAACTGGGCTACAGCTCTGAGGCTCATCGCCCACCTGGGCTTTGAGGCCCTCCGGCCGTGAGCTTGCTGGTATAGCGTAGGTCAGTGTTGTCTGCGTCTTTGGACCCTAGGGAACATTGGGCGCTGTTCTCACTCTTCCCTCTTCTCTGTGCAGTACGACAATCTCCTGAGCCAGTTTGGCTGCATGCAAGTGTCATCGTCGTCATCCTCCCACTCCCTGTCTGCCTCAGACACGGGTCTGCCACAGAGGGCGGGCAGCAACATCGAGCAGTATATCCATGACCTGGACACTAATTCTTTTGAACTGGACTTACAGTTTTCTGAAGACGAGAAGAGGTTATTATTGGAGAAGCAGGCCAGTGGAAACCCTTGGTAAGAATTTATAGGCATAAGTAGTACTCCCTTTAAAATGCAGAGCAGAATACAGAGAATGCGAGACACGGTAAACAGAGAAAGCAGGTGTCCTAGTCTTCATTACCGCTGCCTGTGAGGCTCCGCACCAGCTCACTCCTCCCAAAACTGCCAATAACACTCTGGGGTGAGGCCCCTCAAAGGGTCCAACTGAAAGTGGGTATTAAGAATCGTTGGGCAGGGAGTGAGTGCGTTTGGGACTCGGCAGGCCAGGCATCTGTGTTCGGACATGATTCACCGTGATTTAATAACTGCTCTCCTTGGTGAGATGTTCGGGGTGTTCCAGGGATTTTGCGGTTGTAACTCATCCTCTACACATAGTTTTTCTCACTTGTCTGAATATTTCTTTAAAGGTGGAGTCCTGGGTGGCAGGTGGAGTGAAAGTGCACATTTAAGAAGGCAGTGCTTTGTATCTGCAGTGCCTGTGAACAACCCCCATTTCCCGAACGGTCATGCCGACCCTTGAGCATTTTGATGCTCTAAAAACAGGGTCATGCCGAAACCGGTTTGGCTCAGTGGATAGAGCGTCGGCCTGCGGACTGAAAGTTCCCAGGTTCGATTCCGGTCAAGGGCATGTACCTGGGTTGCGGGCACATCCCCATTGGGGGATGTGCAGGAGGCGACTGATCGATGGTTCTCTTTCATCGATGTTTCTGACTCTCTATCTCCCTTCCTGTCTGTGAAAAATCAATAAAATATATTTTTTTTTAAAAAAGGACAATGAAAAAAATAAATAAAAACAGGGTCATGTGAATTTGCATTTGATTTCTTATCAAAGCAAACATCAAGATACATTGGCCATTTGTATTTACTTGTCAAGGTACTTTGAGTCCTTTGACTATTTTTTTTATGTTTTGCATTTTTTTAAAATTGACTTTATTTTTTTGTTAATCCTCACCTGAGGATATTTTTTCCACTGATTTTTAGAGAGGGTGGAAAGGATGGGAGGGTAGGGGGAGAGAAACATCGATGTGGGAGAGACATGTCCCACATGTGTTCCAACCAGGGCCAGGGATCAAACCTGCAACCCAGGTACATGCCCTTGACCAGGAATCGAAATGACGACCCTTTGGTGCATGGGCTGACCCTGAGCCATACCAGTCCCGGGGCTTCCATAAGGTTTAAGAGTATAAAGGGATTCTGAGTTCTGAAGGTTTGAGAGCTGGTGTTTTAGAGCAAACTGGCCACTTGTTCCTCCTCCACCTGCGTAGAAGCCAAGTATGGAGTTCCCTCCTGAGGTGGTCACATCGGGCCTCTGGCATGCTCACTGGGCCCTCCTGGGGTGGCTGTGTCCTGAAATGGCCCTAGCTTGCTGGTGGCTTGCATCCTTGAAACAGGTGTTCTTGGAGACTGGGTGGGGTGGGATAGGGTGATGAGGAGAGGACCCTGGCTTTGGAATCAGGAAATCTTTCAAGAGGGATTTTACACTGTCACCCTTGTGAAATGCCTGTGACCAACTTGAGATCCTCAGCCCCTGCATTGACATCTGTAATGTGGTGATGATAAATGTGGCTGTTGTAGAGGGTTGGGTGACAGAAGGCTGTGTATGATCTCAGGGCTATGCTAAAGCCTCTTGTGCATGCTAACTATATGCCAAGAGTTACATATATCTTTAACTTAGGTCTGCTTTCATCTTTGAATCTGCAGACTGGACCTGCCAACTGCCAGAGAGAAAAAGGTGCCTAGTGTGGTGGTAGGGGTGTTTTTTTTCAGGAGAGTAGAAATTGACCTTTTGAAGTAAAAAATCAAAAGGATTCTTTTAAGTAAACTTGTCAAAGTGGGTAACTAGTAGCTTGTTTAACCCAATTGGTTAATTAACCGAACGAATAGGCTGTGGTATTGACGCTACTAAGGGAGCTTCTGACCATCTCTGTCTACTCCCTTGAGTCCTGCCTCCTGGATCGACCAGAGATCTACCCCAGTATCCGCTCTTCAACATCTGGAGCACCAGTGGCTCTCCTGTGTCCTGTCATTAGAGAAGCCAAGATAGGTGGCTGTGTGCTGGCAGGCATGTGTGAGAGGGAGAGAGAATGTGTATCCATGTGTGTTGGAGGGGCTTGTGCCTGTCGGTGGGGGTCCTCACTCTGCAGGGACAAGGAAGGAGCTCGCATGTTTCTGTGTGGCGCCAAAATGTTCTGTTTCTGAACCATCTCGTGGCTTCAGATTCACAGTGTGAATAACAGTTGTGAAGGTGGGTGCTTCTGGTCTTTGCTTGTCTTTCGTTCCTTAGGGTAGACATTATTTCCACATTACCTTTTCAGCAGGTCCTCCTCATTTCAGGCTATTTGTGCCAGTGCTGAGTGAGACCACGCTTCCACAGCATCCACATGGCACTTGCCTGCACCCCAGTGCATCTCCATAGAACACGTGAAAGTGGTGCTCAGTTTCTTTTTTTCCTTTTCTTTTCTTAATTAAAAAATTTTTTTTTGGTTTTTCTTTATTTTTTATTTTTTTTAATCCCCACCTGAGGATATTTTTTCCTTTTTTTTTTTTTTAGAGAGAGAGAGAGAGACGAAGTAAAGGGAAGGGGAGAGAGAGACAGAAACATCAATGCAAGAGAGACACATCAGTTGGTTGCCTCCCACATGCCCCGACCAGGGCTAGGATTGAACCTGCAACCCAGGTACGTGCCCTTGATGGGGAATATGCTCTAACCACAGGGAAACTGGCCAGGGCAGTTTCTTTATTGAGAATTTTTAAAGTCACTTAATTCCTCTTTTGGGAATTTCCAATTTGTATCCTTAGTCACAGAGGTGTTAAGCCTTTTTTGTCAGTCCCTTTGTAGATGCTCAGTAAAGTCCAGATGGTTGTATTTGCTGAATGTTCTCCAGTGTGTTTGCTTGTTAATTTTGGTTATTTTTGTAGTTAAAGGTTCTCTTTGTTTTCATGCAGTCGTGCCTGTTACTCTATATGAAGGAGCTCGTTTTGTTTCCAGCTTTAAAAAGGAACCACTCCCCTTGCCCGCCAGTGTGGCTCAGTGGCTAAGCGTGGACCTGTGAACCAGAAAGTCACGGTTCGGATTCTGGTCTGAGCACATGCCAGGGTTTCAGACTCGAATCCCAGTAGGGGGCATGCAGGAGGCAGCCGATCAATGATTCTCTCTCATCATTGATGTTTCTAGCTCTCTCTCCCTTTCTCTTCCTCTCTGAAATAAAAAAAAAAAAAATTTTTTTTTAATGATAATAATAGTAAATAAATAGTGGCCCTTCTCATGTAGGCTTGACCAATATCCCCTTCTTTTTTCCTTCCAGTTCTTCTTTTGTTTGATTTAATTTTTTATTTTTTTATTTTTACAGAGAAGAAGGGAGAGAGATAGTTAGAAACATCGATGAGAGAGAAACATTGATCAGCTGCCTCCTGCCCATCTCCCACTGGCGCTGTGCCTGCAACCCAGGTACATGCCTTTGACCGGAATCGAACCTGGCCCCCCTCAGTCCGCAGGCCGATGCTCCATCCACTGAGCCAAACCGGTTTTGGCAATATTTTATTTTTTTAAACATTTTTTAAAAATATATTTTTATTGATTTCAGAGAGGAAAGGAGGGGGAGAGAGATATAGAAACATCAGTGATGAGAGGGAGAATCATTGATCAGCTGCCTCCTGCATGCCCCATACTGGGGATCGAGCCTGCAACCCAGGCCTGTGCCCTTGACCAGAATCGAACCCGGGACCCTTCAGTCCACAGGCCAACACTCTGTTCACTGAGCCAAACCAGCTAGGGCTGATTTAATATTTTAAACTGTCTCCCCTGTTAATTCATGTTAGGCTGCAAATATGCTGGAAGGTCTTTTCTTTCCTTGCTGCCTGCCAGACTTCCCGATGGTGATCTTGTGCCCACCGGCCCAGTATCCCAGCAGCCCAGCTAACTGAGGTCGTGAACTGGCCTAGGCTTAAATTGACACCCTCCACCTGCCTGGTATAATTAAAGTCTTCCCCTTATTGTTAACTTGTGGTTCTTTATTATACATTGAGTTCTTAAGTAACGGGGCCTGTAAGTTAGAAGAGGCTTTCTATTGGGCTCCATTGTTTTCCATGTAGTTCTGTCTTGCAGCAGAGCCTCATTAGATCTCCTTTTCAGAAATCTCCTTGGTTTTTTCTCTTTGCTTCAAGCTTTGTTTTTGTTTGTTTGTTTGTTTTAAATACATTTTTGTTGATTTCAGAGAGGAAGGAAGAGGGAGAGAAAGAGAGAAATATCCATGATGAGAGAGAGTCATGGATCAGCTGCCTCCTGCAAGTCCCCCACTGGGGATCGAGCCCACAACTCGGGCATGTGCCCTTGACCGGAATCGAACCTGGGACCTTTCAGTTCATAGGCCGACGCTCTATCCACTGAGCCAAACCGGCTAGGGCTTGTTTGTTTATTTTTAAGTGCCTCTGAGAGTGAAGTACTATTCTTTTCCTTGTAGAGGACACAGCCCTTTTTTGTTGTTAATATTCATCTTAGTTGTTTTCAAAATCCACATGATGCTGCATCAGTTTGCTTGGGGCTCCTTCCTTGGTGATGGGGTCTTGGCAAGGCAAGCCCAGTGGGCGCTGGGGTGCGGGCGTTGGTCTGGTTGGGTCAGGCTAGGCCAGGAACACTCAGTGGGAGAACATGGTTCCAGCAACGTGGCCACTGCTTGAACATGCGCTAGGTCCCAAAAGGAGCTGAAAAAGCATGTGGGTGCACTCACTTACGTGCTAAAATTGTCACTGTTTGATATAACAGTTGTCTGACATGTTTTCAAATATAAAATATTTTGTTTCTACAGTAGAACCTTGGATCAGGAATTTTAGTAAAATCAGAACATAAAGCAGTAACTGTTAGCTTTAACCAGAAGAGATAGCCTGCAGACATTGAAACAACCTCTGTTAAACTCTTAGAAATCAAAGAGAACTATATTTTGCTAATTATGTGTATTAAATCAAAACCTGTATTTGCACTAGCTGGTTTGGCTCAGTGGGTAGAGCATGGGCCTGCGGACCAAAGGGTCCCAGGTTTGATTCCGGTCAAGGGCACATGCCCGGATTGCAGGCTCCATCCCCAGTAGGGGGTGTGCAGGAGGCAGCCGATCAATGATTCTCTCTGTTCATTGATGTTTATATCTCTCCCTCCCTCTGAAAAAAAATATATATTTTTTTAAATTTTTTATTTTTTTTTAACACACACCTGTATTTGAAGCTTTCTCTTCCAAATTCCTGCCATGTTTGAATAAAAGTGCTTTATTACTATGGTAGAAACACCAGTTGAGATTTTTTTTTATTTTTATTTATTGAGTTTTAGAAAGAAACATGGATTTGTTATTTCACTTATTTATGCATTCATTGCTTGATTCTTGTATGTGGCCTGAGTAGGGATTGAACCAGCAGCCTTGGTATGGGGACAGCACTCTAACCAACTGTGCCACCAGTTAAGATGAGATACTCTTTTTTTTTTTTTTTTTTTTGCAAAAGCAAAGAGTCCTTCATTTCAAACCTAGGTTTGGCTCCCCTTCACACTCACTGATGCAACGGTAAGCCCCGGTGGCGGAGAGAGAGAGGCCTGATGGGACCGGGGGTTTTATAGGGGGGTGGAGTGAGGGCAGGAGAGGGGACTGTGGGCCCCGCCGATTGGCCAGGCGTGAGTCGGTACAGGATGTGGTCATCTCTATGGCGCGCACGTCCCTTGATTGTCATTGGTTAGTTCAAGGATGAGATATTCTTAAACCAAGTCCAACTTGAGCCTTTTAGAGATTTATGGTCCTAAGTGGTTTAGTGGATTCTGGACACTGACTTGGGGTCCCAGCTTATGGAGGTAACATACGAACACCAGGCTTCATCCTCGGGTTGACTCCCAGCCCGCTCTGCCCTTTGGGAGGGGTTTTGTGTCTTGGTCCTGCTTTGTTTAAGGTAACGAGGATTTGTGTGATGGGCTCGGCTCTGCAGCCGTCTCCCTCTACCTTTCCTTGATTGTGTGAAGGCTTCCAAGTGAGAGGGGACAGCAGGTGATATTTCTGGCCTCTGGTCCAAACGCAGATGTAAGTTCTATAAAGCAACAGTGCTTGTGTGCTGTTACGTTTGGAGTTTCCTCATGTTACTGAGTTTGGATCTGTGAAGGGAGAGGCTTGGTTAAAGCAAAGTTCACAAATGCCATTGGGAGGTTTGTTTTGAAGGGAGGAGTTTGGAGAACTTCTGTCTCTGACTCATGTGAGTGCTCATTCTTGTCTTCTTCTTTTGTAGGCACCAGTTCGTAGAAAATAATTTAATACTAAAAATGGGTCCAGTAGATAAGCGAAAGGTAAGTCAGACCCCCACTGCTCCTTCCTGTGCATCTGTGTCTCCCTCCTGGTTCTTTTGTTGTTGTTAATTCTCACCTAAGGATATTTTTCCCATTGATTTTTTTTTTTTTCCTGAGTGAGTGGAAGGGAAGGAAAAGAGAATGGGAGAGAGAACGATGTGAGAGAGACACATCAATTGTCTGCCTCCCGCATGCACCCTGACCAGGGCTGGGATTGAACCCGTGACCTTCAGGGTGAGGGCCAACTTGCTAACCACAGAGCAACAGCAGCCAGGGCTCCCTCCTGGTTCTTGCTCAGGATCATGCCTTCCGCTCAGGTCCCTGCGGTAACTTGTCGCACGTAGCATCTTTCCTTCTTAGAGATCATCTCTAGATTTGATAGCTGAGGGAGATTTCAGCTATTCAGCTGTAGCAAAACAGAAGTAGAGCCTCTCTCATTTCTTCTCAGAAGCCAGGGTTCTGGTGTCTCCACAAGGCTGCGTTCACTGATAAAGTTTCTGTCCCATTGAGGAGGTTCTGCTTGACATCACCACAGTCTAATACTTCATTAGAATTGTTTTGTTTTTTTAACTTAAAAAAGAATTTTCTTTTATTGATTTGAAAGAAGAGAGAAATATCAATGATGAGGGGGAATCATTGATTGGCTGCCTCCTGTACATTTCCTACTGGGGATTGAGCCTACAATCCAGGCATGTGCCCTGACCAGGAATCGAACTGTCACCTCCTGTTCATAGGTCAGTGCTCAACCACTGACCCACACCGGCCAGGCCTAGAATTGTTTTTGGAAAATTGTTATTATGTTTTATTATTTATTTTATTTTATGGATTAATTTTATCAAAACATATCAGGCTCCATAAATCTGCTGACCCAAGCGTTCTAAGCTTGGGCTTGTGAAGCCCATTTCTGACCCGCCCTGGGGCATCCTCAGTGGATGAGAACCTCCATGAGGCGGGTTCTCGGGCAGAGCTCTGTGCCTCAGAATGGAGCAGAAGGCACAAGAAGCAGCGGGCTGACCACTGATTGTGGGGCGTCCAGGTTTGCTCAGCCACGGGGACCTGAGCTGGTGGGCTGGCCTGCACGTGGCAGCCAAAGTCAGGGCACCTAAAATGGGGGTGAAGACATCCAGATCGCCAAAACCAAACAGTAAGCGCTTCCAGTGATGGCGAACCTGTGACACACGTGTCAGAGGTGACACGCGAACTCATATTTTGGTTGATTTTTCTTTGTTAAATGGCATTTAAATATATAAAATAAATCAAAAATATAAGTCTTTGTTTTACTATGGTTGCAAATATCAAAAAATTTCTATATGTGACAGGCACCAGAGTTAAGTTAGGGTTTTTCAAAATGCTGACACTCCGAGCTCAAAAGGTTCGCCATCACTGCTCTAATCCAAGGCTGGGTCCACACGGGGGATGAGGTGTGCACGCTCCCTTTGTCCCAGGTGAGTGGATAGGTGGCTGGCAGTGGTTTTTGTGCACTGAGCTACTCTGACAGTCCAACCTCTGAGGCAGCAGTAAGCAGTCATCACCCACTTCTGAGCCTTAACAAGCGGGGTCCTTTTTTTTTGTCAGGGTTTATTTGCACGACGACGACAGTTATTACTTACAGAAGGGCCACACTTATATTATGTGGATCCTGTCAACAAAGTCCTGAAAGGTGAAATTCCATGGTCACAAGAACTCCGACCAGAGGCCAAGAATTTTAAAACCTTCTTTGTCCACACAGTAAGTTTGTCTATAGATTCTCCTCTGCAAGGCAATTGGAGGCCTTTGTACTTCCATATGAAGCATCCAAATACTGTAGCCCAAGGAAGGAGCTAGAGTCCAGGCACTTGTCTCCCCCTTTCCCAAGTCTCAGGGCCCCACATTCATGGCTCAGTCCTGAGCTGAGCTGGGAGACACCTGTGCTTGTTTTTTCACTTTGGGGTGACCGGAGGGATCTGTAAGTCATCACCTGCATATTTAATGTCTGCACGTATGTGGAAGGAAGAAACCCACATGTTCATGTGCTTCCTGAGGTACCTGCAGTGGCTGCAGTAGGACAGCGGTCTCCCTCCCTCCCTCTCCCCTCCCCCCTCCCTCCCTCCCTCTCTTGCTTTTAATATATTTTTATTTCCGAGAGGAAGGGAGAGGGTATTGAGTTAGGGCTCCACCCTTATGACCGTACCTCATTGTAATTACTTCTTAAATCCCTGATCTTCAGATACAGTCATATTGGGTATTAGGGCTTCACCATATGAATTTGGGGGTGGGGGATCCGAGAGGAAGGGAGAGGGGGAGAGAGAGAGAGAAACATCAGTGATGAGAGAGAATCATCAATTGGCTGCCTACCTGCACACCCCCATTCGGGGGATCAAGCCCACAACCTGGGCATGTGCCCTGACTGGGAATTGAACTGTGACCTCCTGGTTCATAGGCGGGCGCTCAAACATTAAGCCACACTGGCCAGGTGATGGTTTCTTTCTATGATTTCTCCCCAACAAGCTGAGGTGCTGGTCTTGGGGAGACTCGGTTCTTTGAGAACATAAAATGGTTTCTTTCTCTGCAGCCAAACAGGACGTATTACCTGATGGACCCGAGCGGCAATGCTCACAAATGGTGCAAAAAGATCCAGGAGGTGTGGAGGCACAGATACCAGAGTCACCCGGACACCACCGTGCAGTGACAGCCCGCAGCCCTGCCCTCGCTGCCAGGACATGCGCCCCAGCGCAGCTCATGGCTATCCGGGACGCTTCCAGACCACCTCCCAGCCATCTCAAGGGGAATGTAGACAGTGGAACCTTGCAGCTTTTTTATTTAAAAGAAAAGAAGAAAAAAAATACCCAACAACACAAAGAACAAAACCAATAATGAACAGGAATTCAGGGTCGCTCTGCTTGCTCTCTGTGCTCTATGGAGGCCTCCCCGAGCTGTCCTCGTTGCCAGCACCCAGTGCTGTGCACGTGTACCTGATTCCCACCTGGACCAGTGGACCAGTGTCACCAGCTCCCCCCGTGCACCCCGGTCACCTGCTGGTCTTGCTGTGGCCTAGGGGACAGGGTGTATCTCTGGGCTCTTTCTGCCCCCTAGATTATCGTGGAACTCTTCACCAGGGAGTTGTGTGTGCTCTGCAGAGGGCGGCCTCTGATCTCCATGGGGTGGGAGGGTTCTTGGCTTTTGTCTGTGTGCTCTTTTCCTCATGTCCCTAGATCATGGCCCATCCCTGTGCTGCGGGCCCTTGCTTTCCTCCTGGAGTAGCTCTGGCTGCAGGAATTCTGTCTGCAAGTGCTCCGCATGTTGTGACTGCCAGGTAGGCTCCCAGTGGTGAGAAGTGGAACAGGATGTTGGGTGAAATACAAGCCACTGCCTGCAAGGTTCCGATCCATCATCCTGTGGAACGGTGTTGCCCTCCGGGGCTGGAACCCATGCACACGGCTGCAGGGAGCACGGTCAGCAGTGGGCCCGGTTAGCCCCAGCTGCACCAGTGGACGGCTCTGCCGGCCTCCTGAGACCAGGGCGGCAGGGCAGACAGGGCCTGGTGGTCTCCACGTGGAGGAGTGAGATCTGAGGAGCCTTCCTGAGAGTTTGGTAAAGGTTGAAGTCTGCAGGACTCCCCCAGACCAGTTACTTAGGAGCCAGGAGACTCCTCACAAATTGGACGGTACTCGGTCATCTGGGTGGTGGGAGGAGTGCAGGCTCCCAGCCAGCACACGCACCCTTTTCATGTTGTGATTGAATATGCTCTCAGCCTAAAATTCTTACATCCCAACAGTGAGAATCTAATGCCTTCTCATGGTGCCAGGTCACCTGGTCTCCATCAAGTGGACTTTGCCTGGAAAAAAAAGAGTTAACTCGCCTGGCACTTGAACCCAAGCGCCCAGCCTGCTCTCCTTCCATTTCAGATTCCCTCCTTTCAATGCTTAGAGGCAGCTCCTACGCTACTGTGACCTACACATGGTCCAGGTCCTGCTAGTTCTTTGATTTTCTTTGCTGCTGCTCCCCAGACAGTGGGTCTGGGCTGTTCCTCTCCCTACCCAGGTGTCCCTGGAGGGCAGTCCTCTGTTCCCGGGGGAGAGGGCAGGCCCTGCAGGCTGCTCCCAGGGATGAACACCTTTCCTTTTCCTTCAGACTTTCACCGAGGCACTAGCCAAAGGCTCACACAGGAAAGCCCCTCACCACTCACTGCCCTGTCTCCTGTCTCAAACACACCGTCACCCTCTGTGACCAGTGGTCCAGACGGAGAGGAGAGACGCCTTCCTCACACTGAGTGATAGGAGTGGCTGTCCTTAAACTGGGAAGGAGCATGGATGTGGGGGTTCACTGTGCTGGGCAGGGAAGAGGGCTGAGCAGAGGTCGTAGCCAGGTTTGCTGGTGGTTTCTGTTCAGGCCTGTCCTCTGCTCTGTGAAATCTGAGAAAAAGACAGCTCACATCTGTCTGGGGGAGGGGAAGAGGTACCCTTAGCGCAAACTCCCTCTATGCTCCTCTTCCCTCACGTTTGAAAGGCCTGTGTTCATCTGCTTTTCAAAAATTGAGTCTGACTTGCCCCTTTCAAGAATTTCACTTCAGGCTTCCTCCCACATTGACATTTTGCTCTTCTCAGAGCCCTGCCTGTGTGCTGTGGGAAGCGTGAGGGATCGGTTTCTGTGCGGCATCACCTCAGGTGTCTGGTTACGGCTGGTATTTGTGTTTAATACGGGCACTCAGCCGGCTGCTCACGAGACAAGTCCTCCCATGCATTCTGCCTTCTGGATAGCGCCACTACCTCCTGGGCTTAACCAACAAGCTCCATCTTAACCTCTGAAACCAGGAAATGAGGGGTTCAGGGTTGAGCTCGAAGTTGACAGAGCTGCAGTGACTGCCCTCGACCAAGCCAGTGTAAGCTGAGCCCTTCCCTATAAGCCAACTTTCTCTGTTCACTCAGAGGCCTCTCTTTTTTTTAAGGCCCATGTGTAACCTTCTCTTACCCATACTTCGCCAACTTTAATTTTATCTAATTTATCCTTACAACGATCGTCTTGGCATCAGGTGCCTTACAGTCTGACATGTGGACAAGGGTCTGTGTACATACACAGACATATCTGGAAATATGAATGTGGATTTATCCAAAGTGAGAAAGAAAATGCCCTGTTGTTTAATAGATCCGGAGCCCTGTGTCTTAGAGTCAGCAGCAAAGACAAGTCAAACCAAGTACCACCAGCTGCAGACAGTCCCCGCCATGCAGCCTCTTGCACGGAGGGGCGGGAGGGCAGCTAGGAGGCCTGTGCTCTCCACTGTGCCTTGTTGGTCTCTGGGCCCTGGAGGAGACTGGGTTTGCACAGGATGGTTCCCTCCCCTCTTTCTGTGGACCTGACCAGGGCCATGGGCAGTGAGTGGGCAGCCCCCTGTGGAGTGCAAAGCCCCGCCAATGATTGGCACCATTGACTGCCCGCTGTTCTGAACTGACAGCTCGTGACAGACTTGCTTTTGAAAAAATAGCTCTTGTGGTCATGCCAAAGCTGGCGAGAACTACACCTACTCCAGCCCTCTTGGCCCAGCCTGAAGGGATTGCAGGAGATGGCCCCATGGCACACACACCAACCCCAACCCAGGGCAGGGGGCCCTGGGTGACTCAAAATTTTCTTAAAACATTTGTTTTCTTAAAAAAGGCAGAAAAGACCACTGTGAACATTCTGGTGTATAACCTGTCCTCCCTCCGCCCCAAATTTGTTTGCTTTTTTCATCTAAACTGGGAACATAAAAGACAGGCTCTTTATTACTGGTTTTTAGTGTGAGAGGAAGGGAGAGAAACTTTAGGTGAGAAAGAAACATACATCAGTCGCCTCCTGAGCACCCCCAACTGGGGATTGAATCTGAAACCTTCATGTGTGCCCTGACCAAGCACTGAACCCACGACCCTTTGGTTCACAGGACAACGCTCCAACCAACTGAGCCACACTGGCCACGGCCAATACATACTGTTGTGCATCGAGCTTTTTTCACTTTTATTTTATCTTAAGCATTTCCCCAGGTCATGAATAATGATTCCGAAGCATTGTTTTTAATGATTGTAGAGTTGAATGGCTATAAATCTTATAATTTATTTACCTGTTATAAAACATTTAGGTGGTTTCTAGTTTTTGACTATTTAAATAATGCTGTGATGACTTTCTAAATCTTTGATTTTTTACTCTGATCCCTTCTACCCCCATTCCCACAAGTAGTGTTTTTGAGTAAAAGTTTGTTTCAAAGGCGGTATGAATTTATTTCTGTCTGATCTGTTGCTTAGATGCTCAGAGTTCTAGAACAGGACCTGCTTAGTTGTTTCCTTCAGATTTTGAAGAAATGAATGAATTTCTGGTAAACTGTATTGAAACTCTTATTCAAACAGTGTTTGCATAAGATTGCTCTTTTTTTTTCATGCTAAAAATGTCATTACTGCAGTATTTTTGTGACAGATTTTTCTAAAAGTCAATTTCCTCGTCTTCATTGAAAGAACCTGGTGTGCTGGCATGTTAGTTACTCCCCCC